GATGTAGGAGGTTTTTTACGGGTTGCCGTTGGAGATGCCCTTACAAAGGAAATTGACGCACCTTACGAAAAGAAGTATCCAACACTACATGTAACATGTCTATCCATGTGGCACATTAATGTCTTTGTTATGCGGGCCATATTATTTGGCCTATTTGGCAATATATTCTTGCAAGTCAACTAAATATTTGACGCATTGCGGTAGACACACCTAACGAATTGAGCTAGCAGGGAGTCCGACAACCATGGAAGGCAGAATGTCAAAAGCGCCTATCGACGTCGTGGGTAAGAGCCCCGCCGGTTAGGCGCGACACTAACATGACCAATGCATAGCCCATGTAGGATCGGATGTCAGAAAAAATAGGTTTAGATGGGAAAGCGGGATCCTCTGCAAGAGGCGGGTGTTTGAAAAGAAAAAGTGTGGTATGATATAAAAAGTTGAAAAAAAAGTTGAAATAAAGAATAGAGATGCATATGTGCTAAAGTCTTTATTTTCTATTCGTTGATGAGAGCCACTAGTAGTAGCTTCCATTGAAGAGAGAAAAAAATCAATGTAGTTGCCTCGACCTATTTTTTCTCATGGGGCATATATGTATCTATATGCCACCATAGTTCATGCCCTAAGGAGCCAAACGAACAAACAAGTTTTCTGAGGGGCTGGTAGGGGGCATTTATAGGAGAATAATACACGACTTGGTAAGTTCTTCCATCCACGCATTTGACAAGGTAACTGCACGCTAGTTAGATATCACTTGTCAGTAGTACAATAGACACAAATCCAACCAATCACCACCTGACCCATGACTTGTCAGATCCATTCCTTGCTGCAGCATTTGGTCAGCAGGAGAATATCGGTTCCAACTTCCAAGGGCATCATTTCAAGTACATCAAAATATATTGTGGCTGCCGCAACATTTTTTCCATTGGCTGATATGAACAAATGGGGGATCGCACTAGGATGGTTCATGCACATGCTCTTTCTTCTACAACATACGAGACCTAATTTAGCAGCAGCCACCATCACCTTGGCCCTGATAGCTCAACTGCGTGGAGGTTGTCAGTGGAATCGACGATCCACTCAGAGTTTCGATGAGGACCCAGCTCTACCTCCTGCCGTGAGACTTCCACCTTTTGCCACTCATCCCATCTCTCCGCAAGACCATCGCCTTCAAGCATCCTTACCACTTCCGACATCTTCGGGCGCTCCGTGGGGGAGCCCTGTGTGCAAAGGAGCGCAACCTGGATCAGCGATTCCACCTCAACATCAATGTAGTTGGTCTGTAGGTCTGGATCCACCAACATCTCCAACCTTCTCTCCTTGAGCAATCCTTTCACCTGCACAAGTAAAATCAACAAAAAAAAAGGATGACAATAAGGCAGCTCCCCTACAACCAAACGGAAGAATGTTTTAGGACTGCCCCTCTACACATACTTAGCTCAAATAGAAGCCTTGCTAAAGCTCTGTTAATCACCTTTTTTTGTTTAGAACAAGTTTGTACATTAAGCATTATGAACCTGGCTAGCTATTTGAACCAAGGAAATCTCACTAGTTAATTACCCAGTCAAGTAGCATGACATCGTCGTCATTGGCAAGGCGAGCAAGATCAAAGGCACGCTGTCCTGTAATAAGCTCCAAAAGCATAATTCCATAACCGAATACATCAGTTTTCTCTGAGGATTTTCCTGTTGAAAGATATTCTGGTGCAATATGCCCAATTGTTCCACGCACAGCAGTTGTTACATGGGTATCCTTGTAATCCATTAGTTTGGCCAAACCAAAATCCCCCACTACAGCTTCAAAGTCTTCATCTAATAAAATATTTGCAGCTTTCACATCACGATGGATGATCTTTGGATCACAGTGATCATGTAAATAGGAGAGGCCCCTGGCAGAACCCAATGCAATTCTTCTTCTCGTTTGCCAATCCAGTGGCGGTTCAGCTGGCCCTCGTTCTAAAAATATAAGCCAGTTAAATATATTCTTTAGAATTATATTCACCTACCTCTGTAAACAAATGGTGACCTAAAACGTCTTATATTTATTTACAGAGTACATTATATTAAGACTTACAACGATCTGAAATATACAAAGAAAAGTGGAGAAACAGGGCAAAGTACCTCTTAGACGTGATGCAACACTTCCATTAACCATGTATGGATACACAAGCAACCTTTCTGTTGGTGTCATACAGAATCCACGAAGACGCAATAAGTTTCTGTGTACAGCCATACTAATCATCTCAACTTCTGTTTGAAATTGTAGCTCCCCACCAGGTGTCCTCTCCTCCTTCAGTCTCTTGACAGCTACTAGTGTACCATCTGTTAGTCTCCCTTTGTAGACCTTGCCAAATCCACCTCTTCCAAGAATGTTCTTATTGCTGAAGGTATCCGTAGCAACTTGTAATTCTCTAAGTGAAAATCTTTTAAGCTGACCAAGATGGACCTCTGGATCCTCCTCAGCTGTATCACATAAGAAATTTCAGGTTACTGTCATCTTACAAGTAATTTTCCTCATGCTGGCTGCTACTGAATGCTTACCAGGTACATCAAAGAAATGCTCTTGCGGTTTCCTGCGGCGCCAGTATGCAAAACCAATTGCAGGAATAGCAAATAGCAAGGCAGCACCAGCAGCCACTCCACCAGCAATTGCTCCAGTACTAGAGGAACTACTTCCTGAACGAATGAGAACAAAACCATCAATTCCATACCTTGAAAAGTATCTGTGGGCTAAATAAAATCATGTGTTGCCAAGCAATGTTCCAGAATAGGATGACAACAAATAAGAGAACCAAGCCAGAAAACAGGTCACACCATGGACATGAATTAACTAACAGAGATGCAATCAGTAGTGGAAGCAGCACTAGGAGGCCACACAGGCAGTGACAGTAGCAGCTACTTGAACATTTTTCCACTGATAGGGGGTGGAGGTGTGCCATGAGATCTTGTATCGTTGTTAAAAAACCAGAAGTTTTCACGCTGATTTATCATGCTGTACATTGGTAGCACATGAAGCACCAGATAATCTCCACCATAAAGGTAGGAAACAAGGAAGTCCAAAAAATGCATTCAATATCAACAGCAGTATCGACTCCAGCCTCTAGAACATTTTACTTGTTTCTGGACTACTCTCATAGTCTCATCCCAGCTGGGATGTTACATCAATGAAAGAACATTGCAGCGGTCTTATTGCAATGGAAGGTATACATGAACTTAATAGCCAATCCGTAATTATGATAAATCACCTGGTGATTGCTCAGGGGTTGGAGGGTTATATGGAGGAGGTGGGGAGAAGGGAGGAGCGCCGGAGCAAGGTTTTGAAGTCCCAGGACCGCATAAGGCAGGGTTGTTGCCAAAACTGAAATGATAAACAAATGTGAATTGTTGGCATAACTGCAAAATAAACAAGTGTGAATTGAAGCAGCGTCAAGGCAAAGAAAACTGAATTTATCAACTAACATGCTAGCTTTACCTGATAGGGGTGAATAATGAAAATGAACCGGTTGATGGAACTTCTCCGGACAGCTTATTATTTGACAAATCCCTATAATTATTAGAAATATTCAGCTTTTGTTAATTAGACGCTTCCTAGTTTATACCAAAGGTTATGCTGAAGAAAAGGATGTAGCATAAGAAGACACTTACAGAACTTGGAGAGCAGTAATAGCAGTTAAAGATTTAGGAATTGTGCCCGAAAGACTGTTGTTGTTAAGACGCCTATGCTCATATATAAAATGAAAATGCACAAATTAGTACCACCTGGAGAGTGCAATAGGGAAAATTAACACAGTGGTTGAGTCTTGACCAAAGTTTCTATTTCAATAACTTAACAACAAGATAGATGCCATAAGAAATGAGAAAGAATCCGGTGGAAACCAAATAAAATGAAAACTCCGCTGAGATGTAAGAAGTTTTCAAAAATTATTTAAAAAAATGCTATGTTAGAAAGGTGATGTTTTGTTAACATGTAAAATTTGAAGTTCAAACTCATATTATATGGGAGGTAAGAAAAATATATATACATGAATATTGATGGTGTAGTTTTATTGAATGCTGAAAGTAATTTGTTTTCATACCTCCTAAATGAATTTGATTTGAACTTGAAATCTTACACGTTAATAGAACATCAACTCCCCAACATACTGTATTCTTTTTCATGATTTTTATAAAGTTTGAGACATAGTGTTTACATGGTTTTCCCTGATTTCTACAGTAACTTGGTTTCCACTGGATATTTTGTCTTAATAAGAAACATAAAAGGAATGCCAAGTGGCAAACTACTCGTTGCCTGGAAAAGAGCAAAGAGCACAAATATAATGTGCACACAAATTCACAGCAAAGACCAAATCAGGCAAATATAAATCAAAATTTAAAAAAATCCTACAAGGGGTACACACAGTACATTTCCCCCCATTTTTCAGCCTTTTAGTTGTTGGTGTTTTACACTTGCAATGGCAACACGTAAGTTGTTGCTTCAAATGGTTGAATCAAACTGCATGGCTACACTAGATAATTCTAAACACGAGGTTTTATGCTGCCATAATTGTAACTCTACCCAGGCAAATCAGAAAGCATCTCATTTTGGCCCAGTAGAGCTAAGTACCTCGTGTTACAATACATACAAAATCTGCACGTGTGCATTTTTCAGAATGATCAGATTACCTAAAATATTGAACAGCTAAAATGTATTTAAACAAGTGATCTCACAAAATCCTAATAGCCATCTTGGCACGAACATGGTTAAAATACCAAGCAAATGACTATGTATGTGAGTCTAGCATGACAGCAAAAATATCCCTACTATAACATCGTGTTATCTATAATGAGGCAAATGAAGGGATCATACAGGAATCGTAGCTTCAATAGGTTCCCCAACGAATCGGGTATTGGACCAGTGAAGTTGTTTAAGTACAAATCCAAACTGATCAAGTTTGTGAGGTTTCCAAGTTCGCTAGGTATTGTGCCACTGATGTTATTACTGTAGAGCTCCCTGCAGCACAAAATTAAAACTGGTACTAAGTTGTATAAAAATAATTATGGGCCAAGACCCAAAAGTAGGTGATCACTGGCGCATTACAATAATTAGATTGACGGCACCAGCCTTATATGTAACACCCTTGCATGCACTAATCTAAGTTACTATCATCATGATCAATAGTCCAACTTTACTATTTCTTTTCCCATTATCTAGTACAATGTGGTACAGTAAGTAGACATTGTGATGTTCTAACCCTACTTACATTCCAACAACAATTCACTATGTGGTGAAGGAAATGAACATTTCAAATAGAATATCTGTTTTAATGCATCCATATATGTTATATTTTCGGCTGGGTTGGAAGATCAGAACGCTGACAAACTCTTCCACCATTTGCAGGTATCAGCAAGTATGGCATGTATGCAGGCACTTAGCAAAAAGAGGATAGCTTACAGGTATTGCAAGTTTTTTAGCTGACCAAGCTGTGGCACCAAAGTACCAAATAATGCAGCATTTCCAAGATCACTGAAAAATGCACATAAACTTCAGTATGAAATACAGTACAGGTGTATCTGCATAGTAGAGAAAAAGGTGGACCTACACTCTGATAACGCTGTTGTCGTTGTTGCAAGTAACATGAAACCAAGTGCACGGATTGACCAGAGTTGGATCCCAACTTTGTAGCACATTATTGGGATCATTTAAGTTAGTTCTTAGGCTATGCAATGCATCACCTGTAAATAATAGTGAGAAATGAATAATTCTTACATAAAATTTAACTGACAAATAATCAGTACATCCTACAAAAAATGAGATAATCATGTCATCCCAAGAGGAGCAACATGACCCCAGTTACAGCATGCATTAGCACAATTAGCACCTAATATTCCTTGTGTAGATTGAATATAGGGCTAAGTATATTTTTCGTCCCTCAACTCTCTCGAAAGTATAGAAATGGTCCCACAACTTCAAAACCAGCAAATCTTAGTCCTTCAACTTCTCAAACCAGATAACTTTAGTCCCTCATACCGCTTTGAGTGGTTTCGTTGATGAGATGACATGATTTTGACTGATTTGGATGGCTTCGTTGATTTAGTGGAGGCTGCCTTTCGCGTGGCACTGAAGGCCATGCTCGCTAACGCCGGTCTGCTGCTACCCTGGCCGAGCTCTCTTTGAGCATGCCTAGCTGGCCATATAGCCGCCATAGCTCGGTCTGCGTTTGCTGATCAAGATGCACTCTGCTGTCCGATGGGCGCTGCATCTATCGAGCTACCACTTGTCATGCCTGCTGCGCACTGGTATTGCTTGTGCGCGTGTGGCTAGCACAAACACTGCCAACCCCGGCCTTTCTCACCATGTGTGTCGCCGCTTCATGCTGCTGCCTGTTGCCGCCACAGTCTGAGCTCGAAGCCGCCCCAACTACTTCACTTCCCAAGCTGACCGAGGAGCTGTGGTCCAAGCCATGGCCTAGGACGTACTGTATGGCCTACTTTGAGTGCAGAGCAAATAGGCATGCAGGTCATCCACGGCGCTCCTTTAGCCGTGCCATCAGGACCGGCAGCACAACTCTCCGCCCCGGCCTCGCCGTACCTCGGCTCCACGACCCGGCCATCCAGGTCCTCCCACCTCTTCTTTTCCTTCTCTAGGGCGGCGACAACAGCATGAGGCCAAAGAATATGCAGGTGGCAGGAGTCCACGATTGTGCATATCAATTATTCAACAAAATGCCCATTGCATTGAAAAACAGAACAAAGATGAGGACAGGGGAGAAAGAAAGAAATGATGAGGTGGCAGTCAACTCGGAATACCAGGGTCAAAACCATGCCATGTCATCAATGAAACCATCCGAAATGGTATGAAGGACTAAAGTTATCCGGTTTGAGAAATTAAGGGACCAATGTTTGCTGGTTTTGGAATTGAGGGATCATTTCTATACTTTCGAGAGAGTTGAGGGACAAAAAATATACTTATCCCTTGAATATATGATTTTTCATGGGGGGCAATCACCAGGTTATATCATACACAAATAAACAGAACAAAAAGGCCAGCTTGCATTCCCTTCGTGCTCATCTTGAATCTGACAGCTCTACCATCATAAGTCTGCTGTGTTGTAGATTTTTCATTACACTGACCTTTGGTATTTAGCATTGTTGAGGAAATCGTTAACTGGTAGCCGCTCGGTTGGCTAGCGAGTAGGGGATTAATCGGCTAATCGGCAAGTTAATCAATTAATCGGACGATTTTTTGGTTTATCGGCTACTCGGTGACCCTATGAGTAGGGATTGATTGGCAAGTTAACTGGTTAATCGGATGAATTCTTGAACAGGGGTATTTAGTAACGTTATATTGTGTGGGAAAAAAATAGCATAATATGTTTTATACCAAAGAGCAAATAAACAGCGCATGAGAGACACATAAGTATCAACAGATAGCATAAGTAACTAAAGCTGCAGTGCCAACTTTGTGGATGTTGAGGTTTCTAGTGCAATGTCGAACAAGCAATCACCATCAGGCTTCAGGTGATTTAGCCTTTCGGTTCAGACTTGTGACTTGAAAGACGCCCTCTAGCTTATAGAAAGAGCCACATACAGTATCAAAACGTTCAACAACACAACTGGTTAGGTGAAAAAACAGAATTTGGTACAAGAGAATTGCCCAATGACCATCAACTTTGACCGATTGAAACCCAGAAGAGCAACATCATTTCGAACTGGGAACGTAAAAGCACCCTGAGGCAACAACGAAAGTGCACAGTGGGATATCCTAATTGTTTGAGGGAGAAGAGATCGAACACGCTTTGCATTGATCAGCAGGGTTACATTTATACAGGGGGCAGAGGGCGCGAGCCCACGATGGTGATTGTGGCCGGGCCATGCCGTGAGGAGGTGATCGTGTGTGCTGACTCTAAAAACTGCACACACGCACGCTCTGACTCTCTACGGTATACGTACAAATACATGAGGTTTAACACCCCCCCGCAGTCGTGACGTCGCGAGGAGCGACGCAGAGACTGGACTGGAAATCGTGAAAGACATCAGTGGGCAGCCCTTTCGTCATCACGTCCGCGAATTGCTGGCGCGTAGGGACATGGAGCACGCGGAAGTCACCGATCGCGACGCGCTCGTGGACGAAATGAATGTCCAGCTCCACATGCTTGGTTCGTCGGTGATGGATGGGGTTGCTGGAGAGGTACACGGCGGAGATGTTGTCGCAGTAGACTAGTGTAGCAGTGGTGACCGCGCAGCGAAGCTCGCCGAGGAGTTGCCGTAGCCAGACGCATTCTGCCACAGCGTTGGCCACGCCACGGTACTCTGCCTCCGCGTTGGAGCGCGAGACGGTGGCCTGGCGTTTGGACGACCAGGAGACAAGTGCATCACCGAGGAAGACGCAGTAGCCGGAGGTTGATCGACGTGTGTCGGGGCACCCGGCCCAATCTGCGTCGGTGTAGACCCGGAGATCCAAAGTTGAGGACGCGCGGAGATGGAGACCGAGCGAGGCCGTGCCGCGCACGTACCGGAGTGCACGCTTGATCAGAGCGAGGTGACACTCGCGCAGATCGTGCATGTGCAGACAGATCTGCTGCACGGCGTAGGCAAGATCGGGGCGTGTCACCGTCAGGTACTGCAGCGCACCAGCGAGACTGCGGTAGGCGGTGGGGTCGTCGACGCACGGTCCCGTGGCGGAAGGGAGCTTGGCCTTGGTGTCGACGGGCGTCGGAGCAGGCTTGCAATTGTCCATGTCAGCCCGCTCAAGGACGTCTTCGGCGTACTGCTCTTGAGAGAGGAAGAAGCCGGCGGCCGAGCGCGTAACGTGGATGCCCAGGAAGTAGTGGAGGTCGCCGAGATCTTTCATGGCGAACTCAGTGGTGAGTCCGGCGACGATGCGACGAAGGAGCGCGGGGGAGGACGCCGTGAGGATGATGTCATCCACGTAGAGCAAAAGGTACGCGGCATCCGCGCCGCGGGTGAGCGTGAACAGCGAGGTGTCCGAGCGCGTCGCCGTGAAGCCGAGAGTGGCGAGGAAGCTGGCGAAGCGAAGAAACCACGCGCGCGGCGTCTGTTTCAAGCCGTAGAGAGACTTGGACAGGCGGCAGACGTGGTCGGGCTTGTCGGCGTCGACGAAGCCGGCGGGTTGTAAGAAGTACACCTCTTCCTCCAAGTGGCCATGGAGGAAGGCCTTCTTCACATCGAGTTGATGAACAGGCCAGTTGCGCGAGGCGGCGAGGGTGAGCACGGTGCGGATGGTGGCGGGCTTGACGACCGGAGAGAAGGTTTCTCCGTAGTCGACGCCGGCGCGCTGGTTGAAACCACGGACAACCCACCGCGCTTTGTAGCGGTCGAGCGTGCCGTCAGACCGAGTTTTGTGGCGGAAGATCCATTTGCCCGTGATGACGTTGGCGCGTGGTGGCTGGGGCACGAGCTCCCAAGTGCGGTTGCTGGTGAGAGCAGTGAACTCGTCACGCATGGCGGCGAGCCAGTTGGTATCGCGAAGAGCACCGCGGACTGAGCGAGGAACCAAAGAGACGGTGGCGGTGGGAGCGGTGGCGGCCACACAGACATAATCAGCGGCGTACTTGGGATTGGGGCAGAAGACGCCGGCGCGGGCGCGCATGGTCATGCAGTGCGGTGGCGCAGGAGGAGGCGAGGGAGGGGAGCCAGGCGGGCTGGCGGAAGAGCGCGGGGACGCGGTGTTTGAATGAGAGGCGTCGGATGAAGATCCAGCGGCCTCGTTTGAATGAGAGGGGTGGGTAAGGGGCGCGCGTGAATGTGGTGCGTTGGATGACGATCCAGCGGTGCCGTTTGAAGCTGGGGTGGGCGCGCGCGAAGGGGGTGAACCTGGCGCGTTGGATGAAGATCCAGCGGCGCTGGTTGAACTGACGACGGGCACGCGATCGGGGCGGTTGGGATCAGGCGCAGGCGCAGTCGTGGGCGCGGCGACGGGTGCAGGAAC